AATATTTTTTAACTTTTAATTTCTTTTAAAATCAAAAGAAAAATGAACATAATAATAAATATGTAATAATGAATCTAGTCTGGATTATATGTTCTTTTAGCAACAGTTGTAAAATATAATTTCATATATATATATATATATATACACACACACACACACACACACACACACATATATATATTTAATGAAGGAAGAAGCAAAGTACCCATAAAGGCAAAAGTGTGTAAGGCCCATGAACATCAAAATGCAGCCTGCCAATAATCCATCCAAAGGCCCCACTCTTACCCTCCACAGCAATAGGCAGACCCCTCCCCACCACACACACACATCATTACACTCTGGACTTCCACAAAGGCTCCTCCTTTAGCACATAATCATTCCTCCCTCCAGCATAGCTACAGTGATATTGTCCCATGCTCCCCTCCCAGAAACTTTCTGTGCCCACTAGAACAGCCACCAATCCCTGCCTTGTCTGAAGCTCCAGAGAGTGCTGAGGCCCAGGCCAGAAGGTCTGATCCCATTGGGGATCAGACTGGAAGGTGCTGTAGTGGATTGAAGAATGTCCCACCCCAAATTCATGTCCACCTGGAACGTCAGAATGTGACCTTATATGGAAATAGGGTCTTTGTAGATGTAATCAGTTAAGAATCTCAAGACGAAGAATCATCCTGCATTTGGGACAGGCCCCTAAATCTAAGGAGTGCTGTCCCTTTAAGAAGAGGGGAGGACACACAGAGGCCCAGAGAGGAGAAGGCCACCTGAAGACCGAGGCAGAGACTGGAGCTTCACGGCCTCAGGACAAGGAGCTGCGACCTGCAGTTGCCTGACGCTGGGGGGGTGGGGGGGGAGGCGCAAGGAAGGATTTTTCTCCCAGAACCTTAAGAGGGAGTGTGGCTCTGCCACATCTTGATTCTAGACTTCTGGCTTCCAGAACAGTGAGAAATTAAATTCTGTTGTTTAAAACTACTCAGTTTGTGGTCATTTGCTACGGCAGCCGCAGGAACCAAATCCAGAGCCCAGAGGGAAGAGGAAAGCCTCGGGCAGAGCCGGCAGTGACGGTGCAGATCACTGAGGGGTGAGGGCTCCTCGGACAACCCCCGGCCTGGGCCGGCACAGCAGACGCAGCCGTCCTGTTCCTTTCCCACAGGCTCTGTGGGATCCCTGGAGGGACCCAGCACAGGCGAAGCCTCCCAGTCCTTCAGAAAGGCTCCTGTGCTCTTGGGAGCCACCAAGTAAGCTCCAGCAGGGTCGGGGCCCTCACCCCAAGCAGCCCCTTGGGTCAGCGGTCTCCTAACTTGTGCTGCGGTGGGAAATCTAGCGACAGGCCGCTGGCTCTGGCCTTGGCTAGAAGGTCATCTCCAACACCTCAGAGATTTAAAAAATGCTACAGCCTGAGATGGCCTGTGGGTCTCTGGGTCGTCTCCCCCGCAGGTGGTGCTAATATACAGCCGAGACAGAGAGCCCCTGAGGGACCCGTGAGAAACCCCGGAAGACTGCTGCTTCCAGGTCCTGGCCTCTGCTCCCAGTGACCCCCGCAGGGGCATGAAACCTCCCATCATGGCGCCAGTGCAGGTTTCCAACGGGTGGCCCGAGGACCAGGCCTGCAGGTGTGTTCCATCGGGCCTACACAGGGGGTCAAGTCTTACCACAGTGTGGGTACCAGAAGTTGTCTTCTACGACAACTTCTGAAAGCAGTTTTTTAGTTGGGGTTTTATATAAGAGAATTACTGCAGACGTTCATCTCACCAGGCTGTAAGTCTTGATCTTTGGCTTCTTCAGGTGAATGGCTTTAGATGGGGTGATGGGGGGGGTGGTGAGAGGCTGGTTAGCAAATGTGTCAAGAGGAGAACAAGGGGCATATGTGTGGAGCAGGGGCCATGCCAGGCAGGAGGTGGCAGGGGGCCTGGTCTCCTGAGGCCTGCCAGCTGACAAGGTGGCAACCCCCGGGGCCTGCCAGGCAGACAGGACCCCTCCGAGGGGTGGAACAAAGAAACCCAGCTCTGCAAGCCCCTGGTCCTCACAAGTCCTCACGCCAGCCCCTCAGGGCCTCAGGCTTGTCCAGTCCCAGACTGAGGGAGGGCTCACGCACTGCCACCCAGCCTGAGGTTGAACCCCCCCGCCCCCCCCCGCCCTGGCTGAGGGCCTCCCACTGTCCCTCCAGACACAAAGAAGGCACTTGACAAACATCTGCTGTCAGAATGAGTGAATGAGGAACACAGAGATGAGAGCCAGAAGCATACAAAAGGATGGGAGAGAGGGAGGGATGATTCTGTCCTGGGAACTGAGTGTCTCAGCTAATGGGGCGGTGGGGGGCTCTGCTGGCTGATGAAGAGGATGTCTGAGGGGGTTGGTGAGGAGTGGCCAGGGACAACCAGGAACATTCCCCAGAGCCCTTGGGGATCTTGTCTACTTCCCAAATGTCTCTGCCACCATCTTCAGAAAAACAAAATAAACAATACCATTTCCCCCTCTCTTTCTCCAGAGAGTTCATTAAAATGGCCTGTGTATGCACAGATTTGGATCCCTGGCCTCCCAGCTTAATTACCATTTTAAAGAGCATTGGGAAAGAAATTCTATCTGCTGCAATAACAAAGTCAAAAAAGCCCCAGGTGGGGAAGGTCTTGCTCACCTTTGGGCTTTCTCTCCTTCTCACCAAGACATGTGGCCCCTGTGGCCTCTTGGCCTGGCGGGGTCTGAAAACCAAGGCAGAGAGTGCCTCTCCAAGCCACTTTGGTACCAGAAGGCGCTTGACACCAGCAATGGCCAGGCCCTATGCTGGGCCTACGAATGCAGTGGCAGATCTGAGGGGTCCTGGCCTCAGCCAAACGCAGAGCCCTTCCAAGGGGCCAGAGCACACAGGAGTTCTTGTGGTACCGGGAGACTAATGGAGACCTGCAGACAACGTGCTAGGGCAGAGTGCGCCGTAGCAGAGAGACGAGGGAGGGCCCCATCTGCAGAGCAAACAAGTGCTCTGAGTCTTGATGAGTCAGAAGAATGTTATACAGCAGAGAAGTGGAGAGGGAAGGTCATTCCAGCTGAGGTGACACTATGAGCCAAAGTGCGGAGGTGTGACTGTCGCCTGTGTGGGAAGCAGCGAGTGGAGAGGCCTGCAGGACCACAGGATGCAGGCAAGCAGTAGGCAATACGAGAGGACAATGGAGATGGAGGTAGGGGGAGATTCTGAGAAACTCAAAGGACATGGGAGGAGTCGAGGCCTTGATCCAAGCCCATGAGAATCACTGGTCACTGCAAAGGCCCTGGGGCCGTATCTGCTGCTACCTACAACCAAGAACAGTAGCCAGCCAAGAGTCCCATTGTTTCCAATGGGACACAAACGAGCGGCATTATAAATAACTTAGTATTTTTTAAAAAATCAAATAATCAAAATAATATCTGCAAGGTCATTCATATACAAACACGCACACACACAAATAAATGCATACCCAGTTAGACTTCAGACTGGAAGTCTGTTAGAACTGTAATCTCAAAGGAAGACCGATGTGGCAGAACTCCCTTATGGGGAGGCCTCGGGCCCGGCCTGGAGAGAACACAATGAAGACAAAGTGTGGCCACGACACATTCTAAAGCCAGTGCCCAGGGTTGTGCAGAGAACTCAGGGCCCCCTCTCAGAGAGGCATGTTCTTACCCTCAGCCAACTCCTCCCCAGGCCATTAGTTATCTGGTATTTCAGACACAGCAGAGGAAAAGCAGGGAATTAGAGGAGGCAGAGAGTGTATGTGAGGCAAACACGAGGACTGGTCCTGAGGGAGACAGACAGACTAAAGAGCAGACACAGGACTGTAATCTGCACCAAGCTGGGCTCCGCATCCTCTCTGAGTCCAGGGAAGAGAGAGACCTCTTTGCACAGGAGTCCCCAGTTTGTGCTATAAACACGTGTCCTCTGAGGGCTCCGGAAGAAAAGGATTCATGATCAAACACATCTGGGAGGTCATGCACACTATATCCCTCTACCAGCAGATCAAAACCATGTATCCATGTAGTAAAAGCCTTGAGAAGTCCTGCAGTAGAAAAGTCGACTGGCTTTTGTTTACCGGTGTTCCCTAAATCTGTATAAGCACTGAACCTTCGTCCCTACCTTTTCTTCTCGAGTAACACCAGCTAACATCTCTTGTAACTAGTATCTTACAGAACCCACTGGCTGAGAAAAATGATTATTTGTCTCCTTGTTAAGGAAGAAAATATCTCTTTTTCCTTAAAAATAGTTGAAATGATGCAACTTGGTGCCTTTCACAAAAAGCCATAGTTGCAGGGGAAATTCATTTCATCTGCACAATCCTCCTGACTCACCAGTAAGGCCAGGAGAGTGCAATGTTACTAATTCCCAGGAGCTCAGTCTTTGGGCCTCCTGGAGCTACCTATGGGCCACTGGTTGGCCCCAGACCTCTCTTGAGAGCCAGGAGCCACAGAGGTCCCTCTGTCCAGCCTCCTGCCCTCGAACAGCAGTGCAAGCCCATCACAACCAGCCTCTCTCTGGGAAGGAAGTGCCTCAGCAACCGTGCGTGCTCACACACATGCACGTGCCTGTGTGTAGAGGTCCAGCAAACACACCCATGCTTGAGGGGCAAGTTTTCTTACTGCTCTAATTTTCATCTCCCTCGTTTTACATCTTGCCTATCCATTCTCCTCTACATGACGACACTCCAAGGTACCAAACACTGTGATGGTTTAGACCTGCCCACGGGGAGCAAGAGAACAGAGACTGAAACGTGTCCTCTCTCTGTTTTTAGAATTTCCCTCTTGAAAGTGTTTCCTTTACCAGGGTTTGGATTTTCAAAAGGGCTCTGGGTCTTTACTGGGCTGGGGCCAGCACACAGAGGGGAAGCTTTTCCGAGGCAAAACAGACGCCCAGGGGCCCCAGCACCATCGCGTTCTCGTCCAGCGTGAGCAAGCCCTGGGGAGAGGCCAGCATGGTCTCTAGGCGGCTGTCTTGGCTGCAGACATGGGGGGAGGGGGGCGGGCAGGGGCACCCAGGACCTCACCTGGTACGTGTTGTCGAAGCTGTCGTACATGAACCGCGTGATCAGAGACGTCTTCCCGACTGCAAAACAAGAAGAGAGGGGTTCAGCTGGGGCAGCACCAAGCAGGAGGCCCCCCGCCGGCCCCAAGAATTCTCACCACCCACACCCAGCTCTTCCTTGAACCCCAAGAGCCCGAGTGAGGCAAGAACCATATATGAACAATCAGAGGAAGTTGGTGTAAGACAAGATGCTGCTCTCGCTTGGGCCCATGTTCACTTGAAAATACGTCCTTGCCATTGGCCACAGGCTGGGATGGAGGCATGCTCCTTTTATCCCCATTCACTCAGCCTGGGAACTAGTAAGCAGGGTGGCTTTCCAAGGAACCAGGGGGGCAGTGGAAGTAAATGGGCTATCACCTAGTGTCTCTCAAGGGCAGGACTACTTTTTGTAGTGTGTACCTCATGGTCTAGCTCCTCACAAGATGTTTAACAACCTTGGACCTTGCCAGGTAAACACTGGCGCGATCCCTAGGCACTATGTCAACCCAGGACTCCCCTCCCACATTTGCAAATGCCCTCGAAGGGACAGTAATACCCCCAAACAAGAACCACTGGCATGGCTGAGAGAAACCAGGTAGGCTCTTGGAAATTCCACAAATGTTGCTAATTTCCCAAACTGCGGGGCGTGGCTGATGACCTAACCCTGTGCAGGTCCCCTGGGGCCTGGCATCGGCAGAAATGCCTACTGCAGCATTTCTTATTATCTGGGAGGGGAGGAAGGGTGACAAAGGAACATCTGCCGGGTCAGACCTAGCAGGGACTGCTTCTCTACACTGTCCCATCAAGTCTTTGCCATGGGCCTGGGAGACTCGGAGGGGAGACTAGCCCAGCTGGGCTTGGCTCAGAGCCCCTCCTGCTCTGGGCTGCAGGAGACAGACGACCCTTGCAGGGAAAGCAAGAGTCAGCACCTGAAGGTTCTCCATCCTGCCTCTCCCTGATTCTTGGGTGGGATGTCCACAGGCTGGGTCTGGTGGGGTGGCTGGTCACTGCCTCGATGGAGCAGGGCAACCCAACTTGGCTCCTCTGGGAAGGGTCCTTTGCCAATTTTGAAGCCTTAGTAGTACACCATATAAGAGACAAGCAACCATCTTCCAACAGCCAACATTTCTAATGGAAAGACAATTGTCTTCTAGTCAGAAGGCACATTTGACACACTGGGGCAAATTTAGACGGCCCCATCTTTGACCCAGAGGTGATTAGCTGGATTCAAATCCTAGCTGGGGTGTTATTTAGCTGTGTCATTCTGAGGTGGCCATCGCTCCTCTGGACCTCAGTTCCTCATTTTAAAATGGGTACAATAACATCAAAGACTTCAAAGAGCAGTGGTAAGAATTAAATAAGAGTGCCAGGAACATGGGAAATGCTTAAAAGTGGAAGGAGGCAGCAGGTAACAGATATTGAGACAATTTCCAGAATATCAGATAAAAAAAAAAAAATACCACGACCACTGGCTTGACCTTGCCCATCGTATGTCTCTTCATTTGGCTGTTTCTGACTTGCATCCTTTATAATCAAACTATAATCATAAGTAGAACACTTTCCAGAGTTTCTGTGAGTTGTTCTGGTAAATTATGGAAACTGAGGAGGGTCATGTGAACCCCCGAATTTGTGGCCAGTGGTCAGAAGTGTGGTGTCCTTGGGGAGCCCACTTGTGGCTGGCATCTGAAGTGGAGGGCAGTCTCATCAGGGCCATGCCCTTCAACGGGGGGGGGTCTGATGCCAGCTCTGGGGGGCAGTGCTGGGTCATATACCAGCTGGTGTCACAAGAGCCACATTTCTATTCCAAACATCTCTGGGGTGAGCAGTGACATACCCATGATCTCTTCTCATCTAACTTGGAAACCGAAAGGTACTAATCTGTTAAGTGCTTTCCAATTGCTTTAAATCTCCCTTTAACTTTCACATGAAGGTGAGAAATGGAGGTTTCCCACACAAAAAGGCCTGGCTGCAAAGTGCTAAGGGGACCACAAAGTAAAACCTGGAGCCAGCAAGAGGCAGACAAAATCGAAGTGAACACAGCATCCTCCTTTTCTAAGAGAGAGTGGAAAGTTACCACCTCCTCAGGAAGATGGGGGTCGCAGGGCCCACTAGTAATTTCCCCAGGCGGTGACACACCGCATCTCGTGTCTTGGCGGGGACAGGGGCGAGCATCACGGAACAGGACGGGGAGCAGGAAGGATGACACCAGTTCTCCTCCTGCACCGGGTCTTCCCTGGGGCAGCCGAGCAGGCAGGGAGGAGAGACCGTGGAATCGCAGAAAGTAACTAGAGGAAAAGGAGGTCCGTGGAGTGGCTGAGAACTTAGGGCTTAGAAATCCCATAAGGGTGACAAAGCCAAGTCACCCCATCTCGAGACAACAGCCACTGGCAGTGGGTGAGTACTGGCTCACAGGGTGACTGCCAGGTGGAAGAGGAAGGTCCCGAGACAACAAGCTGTTCACTGGGGCTGTGCAGGAGGAACTTTCAGGTGTGGAGTCCTGCCAGGATTTCCTGCGCATTCCCACAATAACCATGGTGGGCAGCACGCGCCTCCTGTATTTGCAGAGCGTGCTCCAGGCACATGCCAGGGGTGCCAGGCACAGATTTACCTGACAGCAGTGAGCAGAAGACACGAGACCCCTCCCTACCGGAAGCTTGCAGGAATTCTGCGCTTGCAGCAACACCACGCTAAGTTCTTAACATGGTTTAGGCCTCAACTCTGAAGCAGGTGCTCACACCATCCTCATTTTCACACACAGGGAAATGAATTGACAGCTATTTGCCCAGGGCCAGACTGCGTGGGGCCAGGCTGGGGTGACCTCACCAGGGCACAAGCTCCTCTCCCTGACCCTCCTCAGCATCTTGGGGTCACACTGGGTCTCAGGATTCTTCCAGGTCCCTGCTACCACCACTATGGATGTCATAGGATTCTGGAAATGGCCCCACCAAGCCAAGGTTCCTTTTCCTTGGGACCAGACAGAGATGGGAGGCTTTTCCCCAGTGGGGCCATGCTTGACCCAATCTGGAAGGTCAGAAACTGGGAAGTGAGAGGCACAAGGGGAGTTCAGCATGTGAGGGTGAGCGGGCTTGAACACCTGGGGCCCAGCACCCTACCCAAGGCCTGGACTGAATGATGGGTTCATTACTGACATGCTGCAAAAGGGAGTAATTTCTTAGCTGTTCCTCCAGGCCCGTCTTTCTCATTTCTCAGAGCAGAAGCCCACCCTCTTGCCTGCCTCAGAGCTTCCCCGAGACCACCCCTACTCTGTCCACGGCTGCCAGGATCACGTGGGTCAGACTCTCCACAACTGCCCCACAACTGGGTGGAAGGTCTGGGAACCCGCAAACGGCGAGCTGGCCCCGCGCACCTCCTGGGCGTCCTGTTCTCTCAGTCTCTGCGTGAAGAGTGGCAGGACAGCGGCAGCCGTCACCCGACTGGGCACTACCACTGCGCCAAAGGCGGGGGAGGCCCCAGAGGGGCGGCGGCATCCATCCTGCTTTCGACCGGCCCCTGCCGCCTCTGGGAGCCATCCAACCCTCGCAGCTCTGTTCTCAAGGTCACCCTGTCCCGCATGCCTTCTAACAGCTGCTCTCAGACAAGGCCGGGGCAACGCAGAGCTGTTTCTGAGGACAAAGATTCGGCTCCACTGGCAGGATTATATTCAATAAGCAGGCGTATCGTTACTGAGCTCTTCTCTCTGCTCGTGGCTCAGCAACATCTTCTGGTAGTTTAGTCCCACATGATCAAGCAGGGAGATGCATTTTTCCTCTTTCAACCAAATGAGGGTGAGAAAAATTCATTACTGAGCATTTGCCAGGAGTCTTTACAAAGAAGGAGACTGACTCTCTTCCTGGGCTTCTACTCAGTGCCAGACAAGAAATGTGGTGCTTAACTTAGGTTCCCTCATTGACTCCTCATCACGATCCAGTGAGTTAGTTATTGCCAGTAAGGTCACAGAGCTGGTAAGCACTGGAGCTGGCGTATAAACCCAGATCTGCCGCCATCATCCACACCCCATGCACAACATTGTGCTGGTTTATGGAAAGGCCTGACCGGCAGCAAAGCAGGAGATCACAAAAAGCAGGGGCCCAGGTGGCAGGGCAGTCAGGAAGGCCACAAGGAGGTGGCAGGGCAGTAACCGAGCTGTGGGAGGGTGAGGCAGAGCGGGGGTTCCAGGTGGACGGACAGTGGGAGAAAAGGCACAGAGGCAGAGACACAAAGCTCGTGACAAGGGACAGGAGATGACAGGCCAGGGGGAGCAGAAATGTGTCCAGGAGCCATGGGGGACACACCGGGAGGTCTCCACATCTGAGTTTTGTCTCAGGGAAAATGGAACCCAACCAGTGTGTGAGGAGAAGCGTACGTGACAAACACTGTTCCGAGGAAGCTCCTTGTGGCCGGTGGGTTGATTTAAACCAAAATCCACCTCTGGGGCTGGCTGTGGAGGGAAGGAAAGGAGGGAGGAAGAAAGGCAGAGAGAGGCAAGGCCAGCAGGGCAGGGAACACACCAAGGAGCATGGATTCTCTCCCAAGGGTGGCGGCAGCTTCTGAAGGGTCTTAAGTAGAGAGGTGGTGGGAACAGGTGTGGCCGTTCATAACGTCCGTGATGGCCCACCAAATATTCCCCATCCCCGTGCTCTTTTTACAATGTGCCACTGATACTCTGTCTAGGGGGGAACCTGGGCGGGTTCCCAGGTTGACTCTCAAGACTGGGTGAGAAAAGGCAGCACAGCCTCTGTCTGGAAACTGGCCCTTCAACCCAGCCACCATGCTGTGAGGAAGCTCAAGGCAGCCTACGTGAGGGAGGACCACACGGAGACACCCGCCTGGCAAGAAATGGAGGCCCCCACCAGCAGCAGACCTGTGGGTGAGGGAGCCTTCCAATGATTCCAGGCCCCAGCCTTGGAGCCATCAGCTGATGCCCAATGAAACAGAAACACACCTTCCCTGCCAGGACCTGTCCAAACCATACAGATTCCTGAGCAAAGTGAATATTCACATTGTCTTATGCCACTAAGTTTTGGGGTGTTTGTGATACAGCA